CTGTCGAACGCCAAATATTGGCGTTCAAAGAGGCCAAATGCCCGAAGAACGCCAATATTTGGCGTTCAAAGACGCCAATAGTTAGCGTTCTCAGAAGAAGAACGCCAATATTTGGCGTTCTTTGGAGGACGCCAATATTTTGGCGTTAAAAGACGCCAACCAGTTTACAGTGTGTTGTGCAGAATTGCTGTTGCCGACAAAATCATGCACACTTTAGGTGGACTGTATCGCAACGTTCTTCCACCATTGACAGCCCTGAAAAGAAATTGTGGATTTTCAACATTATCTTTTTTCGTCAGATTCGAGGGGGCCATAAATTAACACTTCAGTGCCCTTTAATTAACATTATGGTAACTGCTATGACTTTCAACTTATGAGGGACTATTGTAACGTAAAGTAATAGGCCTTTTTTGCTAGATTGATGTTTAGCAATAACTTAAGTTTTTTTTGACTCCCTACTACCTGAACTTGTATCTATTTTATTTCCGATGTATGACTTACACATAATGAAGATGCATTCAGGTACGGACCCCTAGTCACTCAGGTCTACTACTAACCTAAATTTTGCAGGGAGGGTGGGGCAGTGCGTAACAGATTTAGTAAATTGGCTATAAAAGTCAAACAAAAAAATAAATTGGGTAAATCAGGCGCAAAAGAATAGATTGAACCTTTACTAAACATGAAATTTGCTCGGATGTATTACAACGCGCATTCCCGTACGACCTACAGTTTGTTGAACAAAGGTATGCATTTGTTACACACTGCCCGGCGCCGGGGCAGTGTGTAACTAAGGCTAGGATTGAGCTCCGGAGACATCAAGAAAGGGAGAAAACAGCTTCCCCTTCCTTTGTATATTAGCTGCTGATACAACAGTTTTTTCAACAAACCTTTTTTTTTTTTTCAAATGGAATTTTCTTAAAATTTACGAGTTATATAAGGCCAAAAATGACAGAGGAAGTAATATCCGAAACAGCACGTTCTGAAGCAGAATCAGTCCAGTTTCAATACTGTTTGAAAAACAACACAAGCCGCAAACTGTGTTTTTTTCTTTTTTTTTTCAAAGCAGAAAGGTGGTGTGTAGTCACGGAGTCGCACCGTTACAGTCTTTTCTCAAGTGCAAGGTGCTTATCTTAAGGGCCGCAGCCCCCATCCCCCTCCCGAGAGCCTAAGTTTACTCGAAATATATAGAGTGGCTTATAGGTCTGGCCTCTGGACCAACAAAACGCCGCTGGCAGGCCAAGCCGGCCCGGCCCCTGCCAAAGGTAGTTGCCTGTGGAGCGAAGTGAAGCTGAACTTCGTTGGGCACACGGCGGGGCCTGCTTGTTGATTTGTGGCCTGTGGTTTTTGATTTTTTTTTAAAGGTCAATTTTTGAGCGAGAATGCTTATGGGCAATTCCAAGCGTCACTTACGGACGTTCGTACGCAAAAATCGCGGCTTTTTTCTGGTTTTAAAAGGGAAGATCTGGACTAATCGAACCGAACTAAGATGGCTCTTGAAGTACTTTTTAAGCCCTTTCCAATGGCATTCGAGCGGACTCTGTGCGATAAGTCGTTTAGATTTTATCCTTTGGCAAAAAGGCCGTCACTTACGGACACAAAACGGAAGTGGGTTTCGACATGGTGTTAGTTTCTCTTAAAACTCAGCGAATTTAGTGGGGTTAAAAATTCGACGAGGGCAGTGTCTTGAGACCAAGGAATGCAGCTATCTGTCTATATACAGTACTTCG